TATCTCATGTAATCTCCCAGCACTTTATAACTCGGTAGAATCTCAATCAAACTTCAACTTACAGGTAAGTCTCGTTTAATTTTATTATTAGATCGTGTGCATGGTATCGTACTGCATTATATCGTACTGCATTATATCGTACTGCATTATATCGTACTGCATGCTTATGTAGCCGGAGGTACTATATCGTACCCGGTATGTTGTCTTATCGTAAAGGCGATGCCATTATGTCGTACCACATGCTGCTATATCGTGCCCGATAATGCTACATCGTATCCAGTGTGTTGTTGTATCGTAACAGAGATACCGTCCCATCGTACCTGATAATGCTATATCGTAGTCGATAATGCTATATCGTACCTGGTGTATTGTTACGTCGTAGCAGTGATGCCGTTTCATCGTACCATATCCTGCTATGTCGTACCCGATAATACTATATCGTAACCGGTGATGCTTTATCGTACGTCTGACTGGTCAGCCGCTTACGGTGAAATTGGCGCGAAACTGACATCACGTGTTCTAGAACGCGATCGTTCTCGATTTTTACCTCTCTTGAAACGCGGTATTGGACAAGTAGAGATTTTTAGCATAGGTGTGTGTTTCTTTCCTCTAATCTACGGATATGTCAGTTCAAGATCTCATAGCAAGAGCCACATCTATTTTAAGAAACGCATTGACAGAGCTAGAGGGCACTTTCAGTTCAAATAGGACCAATAATAACTTTGGCGACCTGCATGGTTCAAGTGTCGGCACATATGCCATTCGCGATCGCGAACGTGCCTCAGCCTTCCATATCATTACCTTTTTCACCATTTACAAGAATAAGTCTTTCACAGAAAAAGTACGATAAGTCACTCCACGAGCCTAAAATAACAACCGCTGACCTTTTAATCCCAGTGGTCACGTGACGTCACTTCAAGTGTAAGGCGCTGACTAGTTAGACGTACGATAAAGCATCACCGGATACGATATAGCATTATCGGGCACGACATAGCAGCATATGGTACGATAAAACGGCATCATTGCTTTGACGTAACAATACACCAGTTACGATATAGCGTTATCGACTACGATATAGCATTATCAGGTACGATGAGACAGCATCTCTGCTACGATACAACAACACACCGGATACGATGTAGCATTATCGGGCACGATATAGCAGCATGTGGTACGACATAATGGCATCGTCATTACGATAAGACAACATACCGGGTACGATATAGTACCTCCGGCTACATAACCATGCAGTACGATATAATGCCTCACCGCACACGATCTAATAACAATTTTGTCCAGTATTCCCCTCCATAGGAGAGAGCGTTGCGTGACGAGCCCAAATAACGGCTGAGAAGGAGACTAACTTAAAGTATGCACAGATGCAATTACCCTGGTCCCAGAGGTTCTCTTCTCTCTAAAAATAATAAGATGAATCTCTTCTCCCTAAAAAAATCGGCGCCAAGCGCCGACAACGAGCTGCAAAGCAGCGAGCAGTAGAGAGAACCTCTCGTGGAGACCGTTGAGAACCTCACTTTGCTGCATTCAGCTGTTTTGACAGCTGATCAAATCTATCACTTTTCAACAGCCAATAGGAAACGTCAGAATCAAGCAAAAAAACTTAGGGTCGGAGGGTTTCGTGAATGTGTTGTTAGATATGAAACTACTCTGGAGGGGATGGGAGCGCCAATGTTTTGAAATTACTATCTGTCAAAATACTGCTACACCGGTGCGACAGTTCTCCCGTGTATCGACAAAGAAATTAACTTTGACCTTTACATTTCCACGGTGTATTTATGATTAGGGACTTCAAGAAACCACGACGGCGACGCCAAGGAAGAGTTCGATTAAAAAATGAATTAGTTAGAATTTCAAAACCGGCTGCAGGAGCTTACTGTCTCATATAGCGCGACAGCTCAACTTCCGCATGATGTATAAAGCAGCCGTTGAGTTCCAAATGGAAATTAAAATAATTTGCCGTCGCGGTTTCGGTTCGCAGACGACGCAAATTTTGGCGATTTCACGTTGTTGTTTTGCATAGGACGGCTATGAAATGTACAAAGTGTCAAAACGCACGTGCCGAGCTACTGTTCTGCCAATTAGATCTCCTTTTTTCCACGTCCTCGTTGCCGTCGCCGTCGTGGTTTCTTAAGGTCCCTAATAGCACTAATTGCACTCCTGTCAAGCGCTTCAGCAATCGACCAAACGACTTTTGCAGAGTCTATAGAGAAAACATAAAGATTACTGGCCGTTTACGGTATCATATTTTCTCCGACAAGAATAAAGAATTTCTCGACATCTTTCGGACTGTGGTTGCTTCAGACGTTCAAGACACGAAGAATTTATCTCAGGTTTTATGTCAGAAATGCTCTAGAACTGTTTTGAAATATTACAAACTCCTAGAACAACTCCAAGAACTTGAAAGACTTCGACTAGACTATAAGGAATCTGTATGGGAAAGCATTGACATACAGCGCGAGAAGAGGTGCGCCAAAGACTCCCCGGTTGATAATCTTGACATAAAGAATGCAAGGAAAAAAGCGTGTATCTTTCCCGCAGCTCCAAGGAGCAAAAGAAAACTTTGTGTGCAAAATAACAATGATAAAGAAGATCCTTTTTCAGCTTTGGATGTTGATTATTTCTGCGACTCGAGGAATCGAAAACGTAGTCATGCACGAACAGAGGTGAGTACATTCGAAGTAAACTCAATGATTTCTGTCATATTGTCGACACTCTTATAACTGGTTTTACCCTGGTCCCAGAGGTTCTCTTCTCTCT